TTCTCATTGGTCATCTTTTCATGTTGCTAAGACACCAAATTATTTTTCAGAAAACCAATAAATTGTTTTTAAAAATTAACCCCAGATTTCCTTGAGCAAACTATTTCAGAATAGTTGATAATTTCAAATGCATCTCCATAAAAGTCCAGTAAACACAGGGAAGAATATGGTTAGAAAAACATTACTCTGCAAACACTAATAAATGGAGCTAGTTTCAATATACATGATCACTGATTGTGGTTTGATAGCTTGGCTTAAGAACTGCCTACCAGATTAGTAAAGTTCTGGCTTTGTCTGTGGATAACTGACATGTAGGCCACAAACTGAGGAGGGAAGACCTACCCCAGATATAAATGGCACCAACCAATAGGCTTATAGCCTGGATAGAATTAAAAGGAAGAAAGTCTGCCCTTTTCTTTAAAAGTTCTGGTCTTCACCATTTCCTTGAACTGTTGGTCTCCAGCTCCTTCAATCTTCCAGCAAGAGTCTTCAGCCATACAAAACACTTTTTGACCTGACACAGATTCACATCAGTGACTTCACACATGAGCTTCTGGGCCTTTGCTCTTCAACTGGTATTGGGTCATATGACTTTCTTGTGCACAGGCTGCCATTTTGGATTCTGCCTGATTCCTACAGATGGCCTTCAGACTCCTCCACTTCTGATCCTGTAAAGTTACTAATAAACTCTGTATAATTATTTATATTTTACATTGATTCCATTCCTCTAGTGAACACTAACACACAATAGATAGTAAAGCTATTAAGTGAAAGATAATTGATGGATTGGGCTGATTTCCGAACTCTGAGCAACTTTAATGTCACTGAGAGAGGATTACTGTCCATTTTGCATTTAACAAATTGATAAGATAACACATAATTTAGGAAGTATTATTGCCCCACTGTAATCAATCCTCAAGGTCTAACGACCAAGTCATATATAGGAAAGCTGTGGAATAGAATTATAATTAAAAAGTAACCACAGGCAAATAACCAGTCACATCCAGAATGTGGAAAAGGCCACAAACAAATATCCAGTTGTTTAGCACTTAAGATATTGCAGAAAATGTTGGAATGAGGGCATGAGAGGAACTCTTTAATTCTGAGAGGCATATTAAGTAAGTGGAATGTGTAAAACTTACTGAGATTCTTATTAGAACAAACCAATTATGAAAGGGCATTTTTGAAACAGCATGGAAAATTTGAACAAGGATTGGGTATTGGGTGATACGGAGTAATTTTGTGAGGTGTGATAAAATGTGATTTGTTACAGACACATGAGTATATATTTCATGAATTTAAAATACTCCAATGGAAAAAGGTGTAGGAAGACAAAACAAGTGCAGTAAAATACTGATAAGTTAACAAAACTTCCGTGAAAATACGTGTTTGCTATATAATTCTAAATTTTTATGTTTAAACATTTTCTATGAATAAAAGGAAAAACAGCACTTTAGATACTTGTATAGATGCTAAGGCACACAAAATACTTCCATGTACTCAGTGAGTTTATAATCTTTGAAAGAATGAGAAAATGAAGTACTGCTTGTGAATAATTCAAACAGTAAGTGCAGTAACTCCATGAAGAGTTTAAATTACTAATTACCAGATAATTGCAAGGATGATGTTTACCTTAATAAAAGAAATCTATTAGAAAATATTTATCCTTGTTTTAGATTTTCTAAGCTCATCTAATATAGAAACTGAGTTTTCAATCAAAAACACAGAATACAAAGTCTTAAAACTACAGACAGAAAAACACATCTGTCTTGGTCAGGAAAATACTCTGATATTAAAGTACAACCTTAAAATAGCAAAAAGATAGACAAGCACCTAAAATATTTATCTACAATGATCCACAGAATCTAATCTCTTCAATTGAATGGCCAGAGGAACAGTCTCTACAAATGCTTTCCTTAAATTACAACGATCAAATTTAAGCCATTCAAAAATATGACTGCAACACTAAATATTAACTACTACTAAACGTCTGATAACAGGCTAAACTAATGCTGCTGCACTTGGTATAAATGAACTTAGGATGATTACAACTAGTTGATCTATTAGGACACCCTGGAAATACACAATGTTCATCTCAAGAAAATTAGAGAAATATTATTATGAGTAAAATTTGAACGCGTAAAATCTATACATGAACACAAGCAGATGGAACTTTAAAAAAAAGAACGTTTAGTTGACTGAAATTAAATGCTAACCATGCTTAGTGACACAGAAGTACTAAATCTTTTCACTGGTAAAGAATGGTTGCATCTTCATTTATCTATGGTCATTAAGAAGCTTCATCTCTTCCCTAACCATTTCAGTATAAACTTGTACTTACGGAAAGATATCTTCATTTTCAGTACTGCCCAAAAGTAATAAAAAGCAAACACTAAACTTAAAACCAGAGCAGGGGAAAAATGCATTAGTTAAAAGCCTGAAAAAGGAAACAACTCACTATATATTTGGGAGTTGTTTTAATGACTTTTAGTTTGTTATTTGGGGCTACCTACTGGCCCAACTCTAAAACAACATTTGACATCCAAATAAAAATTCATTTAAATGTCAATATTGAATTTTAAGTATGAAATATTTTATCTCAATACAAAAAAAAGTGTAGTCCTGTTCCTATGACCATCCTGAAATGGATTTCATTCAGTAAAGAAAATGGTGAGAGAAGTCTATTACCAAATGATTGAGTTTCAACAGTAAACACATTTTTGAGTCAGGTCATGCATATATGTATCATCTGTGTATAATAATGTCAATACTTTAATATGGAACATTTACAATGCCTACATTCAAAATATATTAAGATTACAAAGGAAACTTAATTAACAGCTAAATGTATCAATATATTTAATGTCTATTTTTAGAACATAAAAATGAGGGCTGGGGATTTAGCTCAGTGGCACAGCGCCTGCCTGGCAAGTGCAAGGTCATGAGTTCGATTCCCAGTACCGGAAAAAACAAAAAAACCAACCAACCAAACAAAAAAACCAAACAGAACATAGAAATGAGCAGAAAATTGCACTTGGGAGGCTGAGGCAGGAGGATTGCCATGAGTCTGTGAGGCCAGCCTGGACTACACACCAAAACACTGTCTTAAAAAAAAAAAAAAAAGAAAAAGAAAAATTTCTGTGGTTTGTTTAAATCTTTATAATTAGGTAGTTTTCACAAAAATGATAATCACATATTGCTTAAATGTACTTTTTTTTAAGTAGAGCCTTCCCACTGAGCTACATACTCAGCTTATTTTCCAGACAAGGTATCACTAAGTTGTGCAGGTTGTCCTTGAACTTGCAATCCTTCAGCCTCCTGAATGGCTGGGATTACAAGTGTGCACAACTATGCCCAACTTACTTTTATCTTAAAAAGGGAACAATGAACACTAAATAAAATGATATAATGGACATGGTATTTAATGTCAATGAACCTAATATTTAAACAGATTTTTTTGGATTTAAAATCAACATTTTCATTTCCAAAAATTTAAGGAATTAGCTGATTTTATATACTCAAACGTGGGATTGCACTGTAACTCATTTAAAAACTATGCAGCTAATGATTTCATCTGGAAATGAAAGATAAGGTTTAAAAAGTTATGCACCATATAATGTTTGTCAACAACAGGCCACATATGTGACAGTGGCTTTAACACATAGCTTAGGGGGATGTATACCACCATCTATGTTTGTGTAAATACTCTGATGTTCACACAATAACAAAGTACCTAGCAACATATTTACCAGGATGCATCTCTATCCCTAAGCTACACATAACTACATTTTTAAAGACCTGATATTCTAACCAAAGATAAGTAAAACAATAATAGCATGAATATACATTTTTTCATCTTTTCTACTATTTTAACTTTGCTTCTTTTATTCCATTCAAAATTGTTGGAATAGAAAAAAACTAACATAATCTCTTTGAAAACAACAGCAATTTTAAAGATGAGAGTTAAATCTACAAATTAAGACTTTAAATTTATTTCAGAAGTTATTGCCACTGCACTTAAATATTTAATTACACCAAAAGCCCAATACATAAAACTTTCTTCTTAATGCAACAAAAATTAATACTGAAGAAATGAAAGTTTCTAGGAAACACATTTGTGAAGTTTAAATTTTCAGCTAAAAAGTATTTTCAAACTGCATCATATCACACTTAAAAAATCTCAAGACTTATGGAAAAAATTTTAAAAAGAATAACTTGATAAGCAATACAAGCCTCTCACATTTTGCTAGCCTCCTACTTTTCCGTTGAATTTTTGGATAGCATTTCTCCTCTCCTCTGGTCAAAAAGCAATTCCTATAAATACTGGTATGTATCATCTACAACCACGTCAATCTGAACCTGCCTCAAGTCACTTATCTGACCTCTAAGGCAAACTGAATTCAATAAATCAGATGAACAGTAACTGATTTCAAAAGCCATGTTTAAAAACAAAATATATTATATTCCACTGGTTAATATTCCAATGAAAATTGTTGTTTAAAAAATACTAAGCATTCAATATTTATTTAAGGAGCTTAAATAAAAAGTTTTAATTATCAGCCCTAGACCTAGGCTTTCAACTTCATTCTTGCTAACTGGTTAAAATAAGTAAAGATTATTACTAGCAAGGTATGAAGAATGTCATGTGCAAAATTACTTTCTAAGAGTTTTTTTTTCTTTTGGTAACCATTTCTATCAGACTTTCACCCTAGAAAAACTAAAACTACTTACATAAAATCACTAACAGGAAATTAGATTTCTTTCAAAATTCTACCTCTAGGCCTTCACACACTCCCATTCCCAGCTCCCTAAGTACTTAAATTTCTCTCATGAAATTTATTCCAGTATACATAAATATTACAGTATTAAGGAGTCAATGTTAATGAATACAAATCAAAGGAAATGAAGGAATATTCACTACCATTCAAATCTCCTTGTATGTTTCCAAGTTATATTTTCAACTTCCCTCATGATTGTCTTTAAAAAAGATGAACACAAAATTTTTCTGTTGAAGACTTTATTCATGAATCTATAATAGAATTAAAAATAGCAAAGAACAAGAAAAGTTTTCAGATTAATATTTACTAACTAAATACATCAGAGAATATTTCTACTTTTCATATAACAAAAATGCCTAAAAATGTACATCTGAGAATATAAATATTCTCTACTTTGTGGAATAATAAAGGTAGGCAACAAAGAATTTCTTAGTACAGTTTGCCAGAAATGTTTATTATACAGTTAAATACAAATCAAAAGAAATCAAATACAATTGATAAAATAATCATTTCATAGCTAATCTTTTGGTAAAGTGCTATTTTCATACTAAAAAAATTATAAAGGCTAAAAATTTTGAATGTTGAGTCATCATCCTGAAAGTATTAAAGTTTTTCTTCAATATTCACTATGTTATCACATTCATATGTCCTCAATATGAGACTATAAGTGAAACCTTAAAACTTAAAAAAAATCTTTTTATTCACTGATTATTTCCTGGAAGTTAAAAATGACTACAGCATTTCTAAATGAAGCTTTTCATGATACAGGCGTGTACTAGACGTAATTTTTCATTGTTTTAAGACTGATCTTTAGGAAAAAAAAAATGATCTTTGGTTTGAAGCTGCCTTTTTTCTAACTGAATGGTTATAGTTAGTAAAATATTCACAAAACAGCACACGTTTAATGTGAACCATAAGAGAATACTGGGACAACAGTCAAAGGCAGTGAATGCCATATATCAAGAGTTTGAGGGTGAGTCCCCTGAAATCTGTAACAGACACATCAAGTGCTACAGGATGTGTCCATACTGTGGACGGACTCACTTCTTTTCATGAATGACCCTCTTATCAACTCATTAACAGCATTAGCCAATGAGAGAAAAATAGTCAAAAAAACACCTCTGAATAAAGGCACACAGGTGCAAATTTTAAACTGATAAATAAGATCAACTGAATTATATATGCAAGCATGAGTATCCACTCCAAGCACTCACACACACACACAGGCTCAACACCATTACTGCACAGATGAACTCTATGCCTGTGGCTGTATATATCCTGGAGATTTGAACTAGCTGGTAGTTTTCCACAGTAAAATTCTGAATGATCGAAAGTTTGCCTTTCCTCAAAGTGAAAGGTATTAAACTAACAGCAAATATGCAATAAGACTGGAAACTATCAGTCACAAAAAATTGAATCTTAGAAAGGACATATTGAATTTCATAACAGAAGGTTACTGATTTCTTCTCTCTCCCCTTGAATAATCAAATGTAAATGCCTTTTAGCAATGGCACCATTCAAATCCCACAAAAAATCAAGTAGTGCTCCCTTAAGGAGCAACTCCATTGGCACAAACTGTAAAACCTGCTGGGGTGCATCAGAGTTCAGCAAAGTGCTCAATAATTCATTCATATTCTGCAGATACTGGAAAACTGAATTTGGAAGATTCTGATAACCAACACATAGTAGGACTGCACAGGTCCTCAGGGGCTCAGAAGACATGGGACAAGAAAATGTGATGAATCTAAAACAACTGTGGAGTATAAAGATCAAGCCAGCCATAAATCTTGTTAAACAAGAGAGTATAGGCAAAATCATAACGTCTCCTCTATGAAGCTGCTGTAATGAATGCAGAAGGCAGTCCAAAAACAAATGCTGGTAATGTGGATCTCCATCATGAAGCAGTGAACAGCTGAAAGTTGAGAGTTCAGCAGATTCGAGGATTTGAACTTCCAATGGTATATGCATTCTGACATCATGGAGAGCTGGTAAGCCCACAAACAGGCACTTTATTTGGTTGCTGGGTTCTACAACCTCCTCATCCTGAAGGCACTGGGTAAGACTAAACAACTCAGAAAGTAACAGTTCTTCTGAAAAAATAGGACAAGAACAATAATACTGCTGTTGTGGCCTAACCTTGGAACCTAAGTTCAAAGCTTCTCCTAAGGAATTTTCAATGGCTTCATTAAGAGTCTTTACAATTTCACCATCGCAGAAAGGAGAGCACTTTACCTTTGGCAGTTTCTTTCCTTCTATAATATGCCATAAGTCACATTCAAGATTGGAAGCTGTCCCTTCTAAAAAAGAATTCTGTCCAGGATGATACACAGCATGCTCTTCTATTAAAGTATTAAAGTATCCTTTGGCTACTTTATCTTTCCATGATAGGGTTTCCAGAATCTTCCTTTCATTATAAGTTTTAAAATATCTGTTTCTCTGCCCAAACCACTTTGTATTGGTACTACAACCAATATTATATTTTTTTACTAGCCAGTTATTTCTGGAAAGAGGCTTAAGTTGAAATTTTTGCATAAAATACTGTACTGCACAATCCCTTAAATTGTTCAACTTCATTTGTTCCTCTTTTCCCATGCATTCAAATAGACGAATGTTCTCAGAAATAGTCTCTAACTGATACTTATGAAAAAAAGCACAACATTCTTCATGTCTTTTAAGAAAAGATTCAGGAATCACATGATGGGGAAAGAGAGCTTTCCGGGTCATTTCAGTTCCAAAATTCAGCACCATCTTAGACAACACAGGATGGATGGCCTCTCTTCCCTTATACTGCAGACATACCACATAGACTTCTGAGTTTCCTGCCTTGCTAGTTGCAGGTTTGAAGACATGAACTTGGTCAAAGGAACAGTTTAACAAGTACATCAGGTTGATGGAACAATGTTCAAACAAAGTAAACATTTTTAGAACAAAAGAACCACCATTTCCAAGAGTAGTCAGAGCAGTGACAACTTCACAGTAATGCAAAGAAGACACTAAAGCTTCTTGTTCACCTGGGTTTCCTTGGCAATCAAAACTCCCATCTGCAGTGATCAAGTGAATGGTAGCCATGCTACTCAGGAAATTCTTAAGTCCAGTCAGATATTCCAGGGTCATGATATCACCAGTGTTATCTGGACCAAAGTACCACCAATGCAAGGTATTTGCAATGAGCCGGTCATCCATGATCATTGAAAGATTGTCATTTGCTTCATTGTATGGATTCAGAGTATTAGCTACCCAACTCCAATCACAAGGGAACTGATGGGATTTTAAGTAGTGGTTAAGACTAGCTATAAAAGCTCCAGGAGCTTCACAAAGGTGAAGAGAATTCAGCTTTCCATTCTGAAAAGCCTCCTGTGGAATAAGTGGAAAGCTACACAAAATCTCATGGAATTTGCACCACGCTTGAGTACAAAGTTCAGCATTCACAGATTTTTTCACATGAGAAATGATTTTTCCTGCTTTATTAGTAAAAGCAGTGTGTTCATGCCACTCATCCAGTTTCTTATCACTCAGGAGGTTTTTCACTTCATTTAGTGAGTTCTTCAAATCAAGAAATGCATTAAATTCTGTGTGGTCACAGATGAAAATCTCACTAGGATCTGGTAACTGCCACTCATTATTAAGTGGCTTGCAATAAGAAAAGTTCTTGGCAAAGAGTTCAACAATGTCATCAAGAACATCTGGGCTGAATGTCTCAAGACTTGCTAACTGCTGAACTGGTGGCTTTCTGCACTTGCTCATTTTCAAATCAAATTAAAATCTAGGAGAGAAAAACATTAAATTAATAAAATTTATTAGTGAACAGAGTATCATCAGCAATAAATCTAATAACACTCATAATAAACCCCATAAAATAAGACGGTGCATACACCAAAGAATATTCCTCAGTGAATGGCAGCTTTTATCACAGTAACACATCTACCTCCCCAAAGTTCTCTACCTACACCTGTGCACCACCCACACGGCTGCAAACACCCATTTACATTTACAGATTCATCCCTGGATATGACTTGGGTCCAGTTCTAACAAGCAACTTTTAGCATTCTTCAAAAATTCCCTTAACACCTCACCCCCTTCCAGAGGGGGCATCCTATACCTGAAACTGATACTTAATCCTACTATCAAGCTCCTCCACCATCACCCACTTACCTACCTACTAGGATCACGAAACACATCTTCTGCCCAAATTTCACAGAGTCATGTACTTTGGTGGTATCAGTCACCTATACAGGCCACCAAATCACATTCGTTGGTACAGTTTGGATATGTGTTAAAGGCTTGGTCCCTAACCTGTGCTGCTACTGGGAAATAATAAAAGCTTTAAGGGTGAGGCCTTGTAGAAAAAATTAGGAATGCCCCTGCAGAGGATACTGGGAGTTCTCTCTTTGTGTGTGTGTGTGTGTGTGTGTGTCTCTCTCTCCCCCTCTCTCTTTGCTTCCTGACCACCACTGGGTGAAGAGCCCTCCTCCTCTATGCACCCCCTATCATGATGCCTGGCAATTGGTCAAGTGACCATGAACTGAAGCCTCTGAAACTATAAGCCAAAATAAACCTTTCCTCCTTATAAGTTGTTTATCTCAGGTATTTTGCCACAATGATGGAAAGGTGGCTAATACATTCATCATGATACTCATAAACTGTGTTGTACTTCAGTGATTAACCTTCTCCTGCTTAGTGCTGAAACTGACCAGTTTTCCCTGGCATGTCTTTAACTTACAGATTCCTGCCTCTAATATGATTGGTCATACAGTTCCATGCTTGCATTATAATATCTCATTATAACATTTCTGCTTGCCACTAAAACTTAAAACACTTTGGTAGCAGAATTTTTACATGAAAAAAATAAAGCCTTACCAAATATAATTATAAACAGTTACTGTATATTTTGTGTTTTAAAACTGCCCAGGAAACCAAAAACATATCTCTCCTGGGAAGAGAAAATAATATAAGAGAAAATAGCATTGCATAATGACATAATGTTGGGAAAGTTCTAAATTCCAATAGAGCAATAAGTATTACAAGACACCTGTTAGTGCAATTTAACAGGTGCTTTCACTCATGAATTCTGTATTTAATTTACCATATTCAATGCATTCTAGAACTAGTTTTGTAAAAAACCTAAATTTGTCAGATGTGAAAAAATTGACAACTAGATCACTATCCCATAAAAGGCAGATGTTCAAAGATTAAAATGAGAAATAAAGGTGACCTACTGTCACAAGAAGTACAATAATACCCAGAAGACTTCATTCTATTAGTGTTTACTTTGTATTGTTCTTCTGGCACACTTTTTTATTCTTTTTATGTTTGACTTAACAAGTTTATTGACTCTACCACTTTGTAAGCTCCTTGACATAATGGGTTTCTTTGCAGTCATTTGTTTTTCACAGTGTATTTATAAATTACACGTAGGTTAACAGTCACAAATACTCATCAACATTTTTCCTACCTTAGATGGGTTTTTTTAGTTAGAAACTACAGACAAACCTGAAGGGAAAAAGAAGTTGATTCTGCATTCACTGAAGTCCTAAGTAAGGACTTAAAATTTTACTACAACAAGCTCTTCTGTATTAATTCACACTGTACTCACTAAATCTACAACCATGTTCAAGTCTCAGATATTTCCTATTTCAAGTCTGATTTCAGTCATTATTTTCACAAACTAATTAATAGCTGCAGTCAAGCTGTAAAATCTTACCTAAATTAAATAGGTAATTACCTCTATGCAAGGACAACTAAAGAGATTCAAATACGCTACTGTTCTTCCTAACTATACTTCAGCTATCCTACCAGGCAACTTTTATTACAACTCCCATTACTCATTCCACTCCAGTCACACACCTTGCACTGAAGACACCACACACCTTCCACGCCCAAAACCTTTGCACTGGCTGGTCTCTCTACCTGAGATGCTTTTCCTCATGTATCTGCAAAGCTAATTTTCTCACGTTCTTCCAGTAGTTGCTCAAATGTTATTTTCTCTGTAATATCCATAGGCCCTGACATACTTATTTAAACTTGTATCTTGCATTCCCAATACCCCTTACCTTGCTTTCTTTTTTCAATGGCACTTATTTCCTTATTTATTTATTTATTTATTTACTATTTATTTATTTACTATTTTACTTATTTACTTAATTTACTGTATTACTTATTTACTATTTATTGTTTGCCTTCCACAAACTATAATGTAAACTAAACAGGGCAGGGATTTTTGTTTTGCTTACTTATATATCATGCTGAGATTTTGGAACGTGCCTACCTAGTACAAAGTAAAGGACTCAGTAAGTATTTACTGAATATTTGGATATCATACATTGCACAAAAGGCTCTTCTCTGATCACTGACTGAGTCATAATAAGTCATTTTATTTTTACTCTTATTACTTCAACGCATGCACAAAAAGAGGCAAAACAAAAATTTGTGGTTTTTAGATCGCATGGAAATTTTTTCCAGTATGTCATCCTTGGTCACTTTCATTAAGCACTCCACAGAGCTTTGTGGCATCATAATCCTGCTAGGTGGGTCAGTATTCCCATTCTTACATTGCAGACTCGAATAAGAAATTATGTAGCTTTCTGCAGAAAGGCACTGGGCATACTTGTAGAATTCGGGAAGCTAACATAAAACCCACAAGATCTCAACAGTTCGTATCTCTCCATGTAACACAAAGGAGACTTAGAAGTATTTCTGACAACTCCTCCAAGCAACTGTGTAAAGAACAGTGTTTATCTAGCGCTTACTTTGGGCCAAGATGGCATTTCACCTTTGTGAAAAAGAGTCCCAAGCCCTCCATCGAGCGACCTGGCTCTGCCCTGAAGGAAACTCAGTCGTCCCAGCCCCTGCCTCACCCTTCGGGAAGTCCAGACCCAAACTCACAACCGGGCCTGGATTACCTTCGCTCACGCCCACCTGAGTCCCACGGTCTGGGGAGACTGCGCTTCACTCGCTCTCCTCACTCAAGGGAGCCATTCTCCACCTCACTTCCCTCCAAGGTCTGCTTCCTGAGCAGGTCGCTCCTCTGGGTCCGCGGCACCCCCAGCCACAGGGAAGAAAGGTGTTGGGGCTGAAGGCAAGGAAGGTGGCCTGGACCCGCCCTCTTGGCTCCTGCACCAGAGGTCCTTCTCCAGGACTCGTCCTCACAGAACGCCCGCCTACGGCAGCCCGGAGGCCCTGACAGTCTCACTGCGCACGCGCCCGGCTGGCCTTGCGTCGCGTACGCTGACGTCACGCTCTCGGGCGGCGGTACCGTGGGTTTCGTTTCTCGGCGAGAGACTCCAACTGAGAGACACCAGCTTCCCGCCTCTCGGGTGCTATGGCAACGGAAGCTGCTTGCCCTTGGCTGAGAGGTGGGGTGGTGGGATGGGGTGGAGCTGACTTGTGCAGAATTGCTGGCCCCGCCCCACTGGCCTCAGAAGATTTTCTTTCCAGCGGAGTTGAGAGTGGATTGAAACTGAAGCTCAAAACACAAGTCGTTAAAAGCCAAACTAGGAAAACTGCTAGATAATATTGTTACATTGTCACTATAAGTAGGGAGATATATTTATTTTATATATATATATACATATATATGTATATGAGAAAGACCAACAGCAGAAGAAAAATGAAGATTAGAATAGAGTCCCCAAAAAACCAAATAGCCAATAAAGCTATATATACAAGGTTATTTAACCTATTGTTAAAAAAGAATTGGAAATGCTTCATTTTGCTTGGATTAAAAAGATTGAAAATGGCCACTATTGGTGAGATTATGGAGAAATGGGTTCATATCTGTGAATGGGAATGTTATGGTTTATACAGAGATTTCTCCCCCAAAATCTCCCACTGGTAGGTGGGGTTTGGGGATGGTGATTGGACCATGGGGATGTGCTGCTCATCGGTAGGCCTGAATTTATAGCTAAATGTGATTTGGGAGGTGAAGCCTGGTTGGAGGAGGTGGGTTACTAGGTCCTGGCCTGGATGGGTATATCTCCCTCCCTCCTCCCTTGAGATCTCTGTCTCTGTCCCTCTTCCCCTCCTCCCGCCTTCTCCCTCTTCTTTCCCTCATGCTATGAGTTGTTTTGAATAATTGGACTAAAGAGTGTTCATCAAAACACACCATCAGGAGTGAAGAGGGAATGGGAAAAATATTATGTATACATATGTATACTTCTATACATATACACAAGATCTCACCAGTAGTTGTTGCCTGCCCAATTTAACACAAAGGAGAATTGCATTACTTCTTAGTTGTGTTAATTGCGCATTCTCAAGTCCGTGTTTCAGAATATGTAACTCCCACAAAGAAGATATACCAACAAAAAATGGACAGACACTTCAAAAAAATAATATCCAAGAGGCCAGTAAACATAGAAAATATGCTCAAATTCATTAATCTTGGAGGAATGCAAACAAACCACAAAATACTATATTACCCATCCACTAGAATGGCTAATGTGGAAAATAAGTGTTAGGAATCATGAACCAGTGGATAGCTGTTTGAAAGAAAATAACCTTACAAACTGACTAGTTGCTTGCCTGTGTGCTCTCCCTTCCTTCCCCTCCTCCCTCTCTCCCTCCCTCCCTCCCTTCCTTCCTTCCTTCCTTCCTTCCTTCCTTCCTTTGTTCCTTCGTTCCTTCTTTCCTCCCTTCCTCCCTCCCTCCCTCCCTCCAGTCCTTTCAGTATGCTTGGATCATAAGTGTTCTATTCAACCACTTAACAAATGATTATTGAATATTCTAGGAAGTTCCCCCAAGCTTTCCAATCAGTCTCCCACCTTCAAGAAGCCACTGATCTACTGTTTATCGCCATAATTTAGTTCTGCCTATCCTGGGATTTCATATAAATTCAGTAATTGCAGTTGATATATTTTTGTTTCCAGTCCCTTTCCATTTGGTCCATGCTGTTTTATATACATGAAGTTTGTTTCTTCTTACTGCTAATTGTTTTCAATTTGGGATATTATCAGTAAACCTACTGTGGGCAGGCTACCTAGCATGGGACCTTTTTATAAATCTGTGTTCTTGTTACTTTTGGGTGAATGACCAAGTGTGTAGGGGCTAGGTTGTTGGATAGATCAAAATTTTTCAAGTGCTGTCAATAGTTTGAAAATTACTGAGGCAGATGGATATGTACCTCTTTCTAAATATCTTGAGATAGAGTCTCACTATTTAGCTAAGTCTAGCCTCAAACTCACTATGTACTCCAGACTTGGCTCAAACTCAAAATCCACTTGCCTCAGTCTCTCAAGTGCTGGGATCACAGGTATGGGTCATCGACCCGACTGAATGTGTAACTTTAGAAAATTTTCTGTTTTCTAAAGTTTATACACGATGGTAATGGGAAAACTGCTTATCTACATGCCAAAGCATCATACTAGATCCATATCTCTCACCCTGTACTAAACTAAAATCAAAATGGATCAAAGACCTAGATATAAAAACAGAAACACCAAACTGCTGGAAGATAAAATAGGAAAAACGCTTGAGGACATGGGCATAGGCAAAGACTTTCTGAACTCCAATAGCACAAGAAATAACACCAAGAATCAACAAGTGAGATTATATTAAACTAAAAAGTCTATTTGTGTTTTTTTGAGGTCTAAAGAAAACAACAGAAGGAAGGGGCAACCTTCAAAACAGAAAAAATAATTGTCATCTACTCTTTGAGAGAGGCCTAATATCTAGAATAAAGAGCTAAAAAAATTCGATCTCACAAAAACAAATGACCCAATTTAAAAAATGGGCAAATAAACAGATATTTCTCAGAAGAAAAAGCACAAATGGCCAAGAAGCATATTTAAAAAAATGTTCAACATCCTTAGCCATTAAGGAAATGCAAATCACAACAACTCTGAGATTCCATTTTATACCAGTCAAAATGGCTCATCAAGAACACACGAAACAACAAATGCTGGTGAGAACGTAGGGAAGAGAAACTCTTCTACATTGTCGGTGGGAATGCAAACGAGTACAACCACTCCTCCAAAAACTGAAAATAGACATCCCATTTGACCCAGCTCTCCTGGGTATTTTCCTGAAAGAGTTAAACACATGATACTATAGAAATACATGCATACTAATGTTTATAGCAGCATAATTCACAGTTGCCAAACTATGGATCAGCCTAGATATCCAACAGCAGATGAATGGATAAAGACAATGTAGTATGTTTACACAACTAAGTATTATTTGACTATAAAGAAGAACAAATTCATGTCATTTGTAGGAAAAGGGATGGAATTTAAGAGCAAAATGTTATATGAAGTAAGTGAGACATGGATTATCGCATGGTTTCTCTTGTATGAGAAACCCAATATAAAACTAAAAGAGTTAGAAAAGAAAGAAGAGAAGATAGAAAACAGGGAGATAGATTTCATAGAGATGAGGAAAGGGGAAAATGGAGGGCAGGAGGAGGAAGAAGAGGCACCACAAATTATGAAAATGTATGTATGTACTAATTGCCACAAATGAATGTATTTGTGTAGGGCAAATATATACCAATTAAATAAAAAATAAAATTAAATTAAAAACTGATGCATTATTTTGCAGCCCTCCTATCCAGTTCATTAGAATTCTGGTTGTTTCACATTCTTATCAACTTCTTATATTGCAAGTCTTTTTCATTTTGGTCATTAGAAGGAATAAATTGCTTCCTCAATGTTATTCTTAATAAAAATGTAACTATAAGGGTATTGCTCTGTTTGTGACTAAGGGGTAGATTAAGAGTATCTAATTTCTTAAACAAAATCACTGTGTTTCCTGATGTTTATAAATATTATTATCAACCAAACAGCAAAGTTTTTACTGAATCAACTCTGACAAAAATTAAAACATTACCTAAAATTTATTGAATATAAAGTGTATGCTCAGGACTGTGATATTGTGTTAACTTTTTAATCTACTTGATTCCAAGAAATAGGTACATTTATTGCCCCTATTTTATAAACAGAGAAATTAAGGATCAAATTGATTAAGCAATGTTTTGAAGGTCTTGCAGCCAACAGGTAGCAGAGTCAGGATTTGGATTTAGGTCTTCCTGATTGAAAGGCCAATTGATTATGTGGAGAATTCCTACAAATTGCATCCAGTAATTTAAAGATATCTTTATGGCTCATATTCTTGGCCACAAATATGTTAGTAGGCTGATAATTTTTTAAAAGAGGTGAATTTTAATTTGTTATAGAAGAAGGCTATGTTTTTGGCAAGGTTTTGGAGAAGATGAAATGTCATGCATCATGAAATTAGTATCTAACACTTTTAAAAGCCAAAAGAAAATAACTCAGCCTTATGCTAACAGATTTGCAAATTTGGATAAAATTTGCAAGTTTGGTAAAAGCATTTAGTATCAACTCTTAAGTACATATTTAAGTAGATATATTTTAATAAAATACCTATACAGTGTCTGATTGGAAGGTAAGGATAATTCCTTATACTCAGTTGGTATGACAATGAGAATGTAAGTAGCATCCAAAAATTAAAGCAACTGGCTCCCAGCTTTTATTTTGATTCTGTTTCTCTGTCAAAACAAGAGAAACTTAGCTGCTTCTGTGGTTACCATTAATTAACTTTCTGAATCTTTACTTATATCCTCAGATAGATACTGTTATGGGTTGTATCTCAATGTCCCCCCAAAGCCTCATGCACTCATAGATGGACCTTCGGGAGATGGCTCAATTACAGGTGTGTGATACTAGGATTAAGGGTGGTGAACTAAATTAGTCCACTGATTGGTCTAGCAGAGTTCTGGATGTGGATAATGGGGTGTGGGTGGCACCAACCAATAGGCTTATACCCTGAATGGAATAAAAGAAAAAGAACTATGAGAACTCCTTCTTAAAATTTATTTCCCATCTCTGAGATAGCAGGGTCTGTGGGAGCAGAATAAATCTGCACTCTGTGCTCTGCACTTCCTCCATTATCTCTGGAATAGCAGGCCTGTGAGAGGAGTATGAGTCCACCCTCTGTGCTTCCTCCATTGTCTTGGAGACAGGAGGGTCTGTGAGAGGAGCATGAGTCTGCTCTGCACTTCCTCCATTCTCTCTGGGACAGCAGGGCCTGTGAGAGGGGTGAGTCTAGGCTCAGCACCTTCTCTGTTGTCTTGGGGACAGCAGGGTCTTCAAGAGGAATGTAAGGACACAAGGCTTTGTCAAGTAGACCAATTGGAACCCCAAATCCTGATACCCAGGACAACAGCTGGACCCAGGTGCAGAGGCGCA